GGGGAGCCGCTTCTGGCCCTCGACAGGCAGCTCGAGGGCCTGGGTCCACGCGCGCGGGTCGGGCATGCAGTAGCCTAGCTCCACCGACTCCCGCGGGAAGACGGAGGCGTCCGCGCCTACATCCTCTAGCAGGTCGCCGAAGAGCAGGTGGTGGTGACGCTGCGTGGGGTGCATGGCCGCCAGCCCCTCCAGGGTCAGGGCCCAACCTGGCTTGGGGGGCTCCGTCGCGGGCGCCCTCTTCCCGCGCTTCTCACCCGGTCCCGAGCCCCGCACGTTCTTCCCGGCCCCAGCCCGGGGGCCTTGGCGCCGGGCCTCCTTCGCTCCAGGGGTTTGCATCCTCTGCCCTGCTGGGGAATGGAGCGTCCCGTCGGTGTCCGAGCCGGCACCGGCCCACTGCGCGCTCAGCTCTGGTCCTGTTGGGCCCCGCCGGGCGCCCTGGGTCCTGCTGCGTCTTTGCGCAAGGGTTCTCTCCGCCCAGCGCAGGTCCTCCCAGTCCTGCAGTCAGCTAGATCTTCCCGCCCAGCCTGGGGAGTTCCGAAACGCCCTTCTCACCCTACGGCACGTTCTATTTAAACGGAGAACGGAGAACGGGGAGACCCCAGAGCTGACCTCGGCCTTACCCGGGATGGAGCCTACTGGGACTGCCGTGGGGGACGCGGACCTTCGCCACGCTCCAGGGCCCGGAAAGCAGCGTCTCCACCCCACCGGAGCCCCCAGGATTGGTCTAACCCGCCTCCCACTGGCCCCAGGGCTTGAGTCTCAGCTCGGGGTTAGAGGGTACGGGCCTGTGTCATCCTGGGCACCGGGCCCAACCCTCTGAGGGGAGCGTGCGTGCGTGCGTACATGGGTGTGTCTGGGTCTTCGTGTGTCATACACGTGAGTGCTGGGAGGTTCCGAACTCAGTGGACAACTGGCTGGCTGTAGGGGAGTCCCAATCCTCCGGGCCGGTTCCACTGGGCCTAGACCAGGGTGGAAGTGGGTGGATGGAGCCGGGCCGCGGGTCCCGCCTTGCAGCACCGCTACCCTTTCTTTCCCGCCGCAGCCCACAGCGCTCCGCCCCGCCTCGGCCAGGTCCGACGGCGTCCGCTGGCGGTGCCCTTCCCCTCCGCACCTTCGCTGCCGACACCTGGTGCTCCGACCTCCTTCTGTACGAACCTTCATCGCGGGTTCGATGGGGCTTGTTGACGCGGTTGCCTGGCAACTGGAATCCCTCTCTCCCCCCCCCCAACCCGGCGGGATGGGGCGGCCCTCCCGAGGGCGTGGCCAGAACCTGGGTCTGCGCGCGGAGAGGGGCTCTCGGGGCTGCCCAGGTCCTCTCCTGCTGCCGAGGACCTGAGAGGTGACCGCTGACCTTTCCATTCTGAGTACGCGTTTTTTTCCTGGTGGCCGCAGACTCACCCTTCTGGAACTGTGGATCTGGGTTCCTGTTCTTGGTTTGAGAGGACTTCGTGGGGGACAGGGTGCTGGGCTTTGAGACCTTGGTGGCGGATGCCCTGTGCCCTCCATGTGCCCAGGGGCCCCGCTCCCCAACTCCAGCCACTGGTGTTTGCAGAAAGGAAAGCTAGGGCAGATCCTAGGATCCCTTCCTCTGCCAGGCAAATTGGGGATTGCAGGGATGCGGGAGTGTCCCGAGACCAAACCTGGGTCTTGCTGGTGTCTAAATCTCTGGGTCTTGCATCCTAGGTCCTAGATGTCTGAAATCTATTTGTGCATTATTTAATTTCATAATATGAAATTTCATAATGAATTCACTTCTCAATTAATTAATTTGACCATTTATTCATGCACTAATCAGTGTGTTCTAGAATTCATTAGTTTGTATGTTTGTTCCACAATTTAAGTTGAGTAAAATGAATGCACTAAGTCTATAATCTGTTAATGCATCTGTTACTTCCAGCGGTTGGCATGGTTCTCCCCTCCTTCACAGATGTGCCTTCTGGGGCCAGGGTGCTGCTTTCTGGGAGTTCCTGGCCTTTCTGCAGGACACGTGGCTGTCCCAGGGTTTGGAAGCTTCTCTGGCCTATTGGTGACCCTGCACACCATCCCCATAGCTGGGTGGAACCCCTGCAGGTCCTTTCAGCCCCTGTGCCTCGGTACCAGCTGTTCCCTCCTTCCTCCAAAGCTCTCGGGAAGACTGCCCCCTGCCCGACAGGTAGGTACCTGTGGGTGTGGCCTGGGTGTCAACACCGACCTGGCCCCTGGGCTCCTGAAGAAGCAGTGAGAGCTCTGAGGCTCCCCTGCAGATGTCCTCCGAGGAGCCTTACAGGAAACAGCCCGGGCTGGGGCCAGCTCCATGCTCCATAGGGACCTGGCCCTCCTCAGCCTCTCAGGGTCCAGGCCAGGGGGCACCCCGGTAGAGGACTGGCAGAGTGGGGATCATGCAAGGAGGAGGGAACTCTTCAGTTCTTACACTACAAAGGACTGTCACCTTCACCACTTTTGTAGAGTTGGAGAACTTTGACACCTCCTGCAGCCTAATTTCAGCAAGGTACTCTGGAGGCTCCGATGGCTGCCCTGCTCACGTTTCCAGGCATAGCTGGTGCCACCTGCTTCTCCACACACCTGCGGCTGTCCTGGGAAGGAGGTGTCCTTCACGTTTGGGGTCCAGTGACTGCAAGGGGCATGCCAGGCAGATATCTCCCACCTGTTTCTGTGTTCATGACTCTTTTTTCTATAGGATGTGTGCGCTCACCAGAGAGAGATGGAGAGAGAGAGAGAGAGGGAGAGAAATCATCTCCCTCAGGGGTAGCCATCCTGCAGTCTCCTCTGTTTTCCCCTCAGGATTTTGGGCGCGCACACGCATGTGTCCAGTATGAGTTTCAAGGCATCTAGTCCAGGACTCAAACTGTCATCGACCATGTGGGAGTAGAGAACCTTAACCCTTACGCCACCTACTGGCCCTAGGACTCATGTGTTTCAAGGGCCGACTGAAGTACCAAGATTGAAAAGCATTCTTACTGGCACCAAAGCCTGAAAATGAAACTTGAAAAGCAAATTAATAACCTTTATTAAATGACTACAGAATCGGGAACCAGCAGTTAGCGTAATGGCTATATTGCTGGACTCCCACGTAGTCGACCGCGGTTCGCGTCCCGGACCCGGTGACTTAAAACTCACGCCAGGGAGAGATGGAGAGAGAGAGAGAGAGGGAGAGAAATCATCTCCCTCAGGGGTAGCCATCCTGCAGTCTCCTCTGTTTTCCCCTCAGGATTTTGGGCGCGCACACGCATGTGTCCAGTATGAGTTTCAAGGCATCTAGTCCAGGACTCAAACTGTCATCGACCATGTGGGAGTAGAGAACCTTAACCCTTACGCCACCTACTGGCCCTAGGACTCATGTGTTTCAAGGGCCGACTGAAGTACCAAGATTGAAAAGCATTCTTACTGGCACCAAAGCCTGAAAATGAAACTTGAAAAGCAAATTAATAACCTTTATTAAATGACTACAGAATCGGGAACCAGCAGTTAGCGTAATGGCTATATTGCTGGACTCCCACGTAGTCGACCGCGGTTCGCGTCCCGGACCCGGTGACTTAAAACTCACGCCAGGCGCGTGTGCGTACATGCCCAAGATCCCGAGAGGAGAATTGAGGAGAAGGGATTGCAGCGTGACCATCCCCCCTGGGGGTGATTTCTCGCTTTCTGTCTCTAATGTCTCTCTCTGTCTGTCTGGCGAGCACACGCGCCCTATAGCAAAAATCTCTCAAAAAAAAATGACTACAGAATCTAGCATATTATTTAAAAACTGCAATTCAAGTTTTAAAAAAAGTTTTTTGGAGGACCAGCAGTTGGCGTAATGGCTATGTCGCTGGACTCCCACGTCGTCAACCGCAGTTCAAGTCCTGTACCCGGTGGCTTAAACTCACACCGGGCGCATGTGTGTGCATGCCCAATATCCCAAGAGGAGAATGGAGAAGAATGGATTGCAGCATGGCCATCCTCCCTGGGAGATGATTTCTTGCTTTCTATCTCTGTCTTTCTGGCAAGCGCACGCACCCTATAGCAAAAACCTCTCCAAAATAAATAAATAAATAAATAAATAAATAAATAAATATTAAAAAAAAATTTTTTTTGGGGGGAGACTGGCAGATGGCATGGTAGTTAAGGGCCCTGGACTCTCATATGGCTGACAGCAGTTCTAGTACCGGACCAGCTTGCTTTCTCACTCCCCGCCTCCCACCCTGACCCTTTCTGGTCAAATTTTAAAAATAAGCAAATAAAGTTAAATAATTCTTTTTTTTTTAAAGAATGATTTTATTTAACTATATTTATTTTATTTTTAAAATTTGACCAGATAGGGACAGAGAGAGAGAGAGAGAGACGGAAGGTGAGAAAGCAAGCTGCCAGGCCCAGGCCTTGAACCATGGTCAGCCATGTGGGAGTCCAGTGCCCTTAACCACCATGTCACCTGCCAGCCCCTAAATAAAATAATTCCTTAAAAATTTTTTTTTTCAGGGGAAGGGCCAGCAGATGGCATAGTAGTTATGTTGCTGGACTCCCACATGGCTGATTGTGGTTCGAGTCCTGGGCCTGGCGGCTTAAAACTCACACTGGGCACGTGTGTGTACATGCCCTTGATCCTGGGAGGAGAAGGGAGGAGAAGGGATTGCAGCATGGCCATCCCCTCAGGGGGTGATTTCTCAGTTTCTCTCTCAATGTCTCTCTCCAGCTAGTACACACACCCTAGAGCAAAAACTTCTTAAAAATTACTTTTTATTTTAGATTTTTGCCATAGTGTGCTCACCAGAGAGAGACAGAGAAAGAGGGAAAGTGAGCAATCACTCCCCAGGGGATGGCCACGCCGCAATCCCTTCTCCTTCATTCTCCTCCCAGGATCAAGGGCATGGCCACACCGCAATCCCTTCTCTTCCTCCGTTCTCCTTTCGGGATTTCGGAAACATATTGCACATGCCCTGTGGTGTTTTTTTTTTTTTTAGAGAGAAATTTTTGGTATAGGGTGTGTGCACTTGCTGGAGAGACAGAGAAACAGAAAGTGAGAAATCACCTCTGTGGGGGGATGGCCATGCTGGAATCCTTCTCCTCTTGGGATTTTGGGCATGCGTGCATGCACATGTGCCCTGAGTTCAAGCCGCTGGGTCTGGGACTCAAACTGTGATGGACTATGTAATTGTCCAGCACAACCATTACTCTATCTGGTTGTCCCACCTGTGTGTTTTTCAAACTGCCGGATCTGGGACTCAAACTGCTGAGTCAGTCATGTAGATCCATTGCCTTAACCAGGCCACCCGTTGGCCTGCAATTCAGTTCTTTAAAAAGTTTTTTTAAAAAAAGGTTTTTGCCATAGGGCATGTGTACTCACCAGAGGGAGAGAGATAGAGACAGTGAGCGGAAAGTGAGAAATTACACCCCGGGGGGATGGCCAAAGTGCAATTTCTTCTCCTCCACTTTCCTCCTGGAACTTTGGACACATGAACACATGTGCTTGATGTGTTTCAAGCCACTGGATTCAGGACTTGAACTGCTGTCAGCCACGTGGGAGTCTAGCATCTTAACTACCACGTCATCTGCTAGCCCCAACAGCATAATTTTTAAAATTATTATTTTTTAATTTCCAGAGGACTCATATACAGAAACACAGTGAGACCGAGAGAAAGCACCCTCTCTGGGTCATGGTCATGCTGCAATCCTTTTTCTCCCACTTCTCTATCCTGTCAGGGTTGGGGCCATGCGTACATAAGTACCCAGCATGCACTTGCTGGGGAGGAGAGAGAGGAGAGAGAAAGGCAGAACACACTTCATGTGGGGTATGGTCACACACAGTCCCTTCTCCTTTCCTCTCTTTCAGGGTTTTGGGAACGCACGCAGAGTGTACTTTTCAAGCCGGCTCACGAACTGTGCGGTTGGCCACGTGGGATCTAACTGCCTTAACCACTAGGTCACTGGCTGGTCCCCTTTTACTTTGACAGCGCAGAGGGCTGTGCAGCTGGTGACTGGGGTATGCTGTCTGTGTGGGCTGCCAGAGTCTCTGCGCACCCCTGCACCCCTCCCCAGCCCAGGCTGGTGCAGGTGTGGAGAGAGAGAAGAGGACAGCATGCCTGCCTCAGCTGGGGATGCAGAGGTCTGATCTGCCATGGGCCTCACTCGATGTGAGAGTCAGGGTGCTCAGCAATCGTGGGTGTAGCCCTCACCCCAGGACCCAGGCCTGCCCAAATGCTCAGGCCAGGCTTTGGCCAGGATCTGTGGACACGAGTCCCTGCTGTCGTGCCAGTGACACTGCGTGCTGGGCTGCCTGTGTCTGCAGGTGTGTCCTGCCCACCCCACGCGGGAGTTGCAGAGAGGCTGTCCCCTGCCCTTGCCAGCCTTTGTGTGACATGGCGATGGTTGTGTTTGGGACCCCAGTTCTCTTACATCCTCTGGGCACTGCCCTGCCTTGCCAGGTTAGGGTCAAGAGAGCCGGGAGTCATTCCTCACACACTTCCCCATTCCCTCTGTGGGAGCCCTTCAGAGTCCAGGGCTGGTTGTGGCCACCCACTGGCCAAGGAGCCAAGCCCCTTCTTCCTACTGGGTACTGGGAAGCCAGATTCCTGCCCCCAGGGGATGGCCATGGGAGGGCTGTGGCTGGAACGTAGGCCCTGTGCAGTGGGATGGAAGGGTAGGTCCGGTCTACAGAGAGGAGCATGGCTCATCCTGTGGCTCATGTGGCTGACGGCTGGTGATGGGTCAGGGCAGGAGGACACAGAGCCCCCAGGAGGTGCGAGGAGACACGTGCCATGGTCAGCCGTGTCTGGAGAGGCTGGCCTGGCTCTGTGGGGGCTGAGGACGTGGAGGAAATGTCATTCTTGCTGGGCTCTGGGTAGAGAGGCACCACAGGGCAGCCTTGAGCCGTGAAGGCCCAGTGCCGCGGCAAGGACCAGGGCTGGCAGCCCTGCCCCTCCTCTCCCCCTCCTTCTCTCTGCCTGCAGAGGGGAGGTAGGTGGGGTAACCCAGATGGCAGGGCTGTGGAGGTCGAGGGATCCACAGTCCCCAACCTTGCCCTGGCCTCCGACACTGGTTCTTGGGTCGGGGCATTAGGTGGGATTCTCTGTCTCCCTTCCCCTGTGGGGTCTCTGCCCTGCCCACTCTCACAATGCCCCCTGTCTCCAGATGTCTGGGGCTTGGGGTGGGAGGCAGCTGAAAGCCGTTAGGAAGCAAGGTCCTGGTGTGGATGGGAGGCTTCCCACTGGGGAGGGGTTGCAGGGGCTCCTGGTCAGTGAGTCAGCAATGCCTTGGGAGTACCCATGTGTGTGTGTGTGTCCCTGGGGTCCGAGGTCTCGGTCTGTGTCCACCTCCTCCTGGTGAGGTCTGCACTTTTCCTCATGTTCACTCACGTGCTTGTGTGCACCTTGCGTGGGTTTGCCTCTGTGGGGTCTGTGTGTCCATGCCCCCGTGAGTGGAGTGCGTGTCTGCGCATGTACCCTAGTCCCTGTGCTCACCGCCTGCCTGTGTGAGCATAGCGGTGTCTGCAGGAAT